ATTTTTACAGTCATCCGGTTGTAATTCCCCTGAGATAGTTTCAACATTATACTGGCGCAGATTCTGTTTCGCTAAATCAGCCAGTCCATTCGCTTCGATGACTTTGATGCAATTATTCTATAATCGTGGTTGAGTTACTTGTCACATTTAACACAACCCCTACCCCCCTATAGCAGTTAACCCACACCCGAACGGAGATGTGCGAATCACTAGAGGTTGACAGGTCAAATCGAAGGTATCAATTGACTGATTGCAAACCCGGGCATCTCTGAATTGTGCATATAGTGAAAGAAAAAATGTAGAAAAGTGTCGGTAGAATCGACAGTTGACTTACGCACGGTTTCTTCAAATTTTATCCGTGAGCTAATCCGTCGCCTCTATCTGAGTCGAAAAATAGGCCGAAACACTTTTTTGGCTCCTATTTGCGAACTCCGCGAAGGTGAATGACGCGATCTTCAAAATAGAACAGCAACAAAACACAATCGTTGAATAAGCTACAGTGAATGATACAGCTCCAGTAACTCCACGACCCTAGTTCCTAAGTGGGCGCAAAAGAAGCTCTTTTACATCAGGGTCCCCTGTCCTACGTGAGCGATGTGACGAAGGACTGTAAGGCCTCAGCCTATACTGTGACAAATCAAACTGAGCGTTTCCAATGCGCGATGAACGATTGATGAGCCAGCAAAGAACTCGTTGTCTCGACTGTGTAATTTGCCTATATTAAACTGCCAAATTGAACGATTTATGAAATGTATGGAAAATACAAATACTCTTACTAAAGCTTTGGAAGGCGAAATGGGAACCTTCAAAATCAAGTTGATGCGTACGTCAACCAGGTTCTGAGCAATGAAGAAATATCTATGTCCGAGTAACAGGAAGCCATTCGTGTTGTAACTCCGTCGACAAAGACAGTGCCGCTTCTTATGATCCGTGCTGCGGGAACTCTTGCGCCATAAAGTACCAAATGCAGCCATGACAATTTATATAAATAATGTGATATAAATAATCATGTGAGCACTTCGAGATCGTAAATGGCTTATTAACCCTTTTCCTACAAGTAGACTACTATAAGTGCATTGAGCTTAAAAAGGGATGAATCCATTGGTGCAATGCAATCACTTGCTATCGAACTGGAAGGGTTACATCCAGAGTCCAAGCTGCGTGTCCTATCTGTTTTCCTCTTCGAGTTAAACTGCAAGAACTTCAATATAAATATTTGTTGGAAGGACAGCTCAAGAGAGTGCACCTTGCGTTGCTGTGCTTGTCTCACTCACACAATGTCGATTTGTTGAGAGCGGCCAATAGAGCTATGAGGGTGGTGTAGCTAAGAGAATCGTGCATAGGGTTGTAAAACGAATCGGGTCCTCTTTTAGGAGCGAAGAGTAAAGAAGAGAGGTGTGCGGTTGAATCGCAGAGAGACGCCTGTGGCACGCACCTCTTCCGCCGCGATGACACTTGACATGATGGCCTTCCGGCCTGAGTGCAACAGCCTAGAGTATTTGTGAGCTTCATAAGAAGTACACCGGAAGATTATCGCCGGTCTAGATTTTTGAAAAGGATTCGCCGTTATCTAACTATATCCAAAGATATATCGGCCTACTATAAGATTGCCACCGCTCTCGCAGTCACCGACGAGCAAGAAGTTCTTGAACCAGCCCTCATCGTAGCCAGCATACAGATCATGTTCAAGAACTGTGGCTCCGAATTTGGCAGTAAGTCACGAGCACATTTGGGGCTAAAGTCGTACGAAACGCTAGAGATTATTCAGTGGAACTGCACGGACGCTTTAAAGGCCATCGCTCGTCCTGAACTCAAAAATTAATGAGAACCTCCCAGTACCAAACTCGATTGGTGTTAAGGTGTATTCGTGTCATCTCGGCGATATCCTGGAATCTTCGGTTTGTCGAGCTCGCCTCAGAAGACATCGACCACGATATGATTAAATTGCCATTTCGCCCGGCATGCCTAGGATGCTTTCAGGCTACCAGCAACATTACAACCGGCAGCGAAGCCACTCAGCACGGCGTTCAACTGCCGGAAGACTATGCCACTCAACGCAAAGGATACCTGAAATAGCTGTTCTCATAAGGGTGGCTGACTGTCAGTTATATAAATGGCTTGCTTTTCGCAGGCTTACACCATGTCTCATCGCCATTTTGCTTGTAGGTCTAGCGGCACCGTACTTGAAGGGTCTCATGGATCAGCACAGCGTGGGAAAACCGAAAACCAGCAAATGCAAAAGGTGAAATCCGGGGACTTTTCCAATCTAGAAGTGATTCAAGCGCTCGAGAGCTTATCCTTAGCGCAACCAAACAGGATTTAGAATGAGCACTTCAAGGCCGCCGTGATGGCTGGTTTTCTTCAATTAATGTTTTTGTTTCTCTTCTCACGGGCGGGGTGCAAAGCTTTTCGTTATTCCAAAAGGCAAAGGCGACCCAAGCATCGCAGGGCGGGATTGCGTTATCTATAAGATTCTTTCTTTTTACTGAAGAGGGGATCAGACATGTCCCTGGAAGGCATTCGTGCAATGCACAAGAGGCAAAACGAACCCAACAGAAAGCATTCGGCCGAGACGGCATGCAGCATCCTACTTACCGATTTCAGGCGAATTTTGAGTAGTCTTCGGTAATCTATCTACGCAATGTTTGTATGTTTCAAAACTGTTTGCGGCTACGCTTCGAAGAATTTAGTCTTAAGCACCCTTGCCAACATCGATAATACAGGTCCTTGAGCTGCCAGCGCTCCCCCAGATTACAGATGTGGCTCAAGGTGACAACTTTAGCCCTTTCCTTCCGCCAGCTTTGCTTATAATTATAATACTTAAGGATATAACGACGAGATACTTGCGCCCAAAAGCTGTGTAAATGATGTGGTTATTTATTAGAGTAGTCGCCTGATGTGCAGCAGGCCCAGAGCCAACTTACGTTCCGCCGTTTCGGAATTGGGACTGGCAATCAACTTAATTAAAATTGAGGCAAATAAATTTAGGAGAAGTGGCGGACTTGTGGGTCGTGATACGCTGTATCTTTCAGGCTGGTCCCCTGTAAATGTTAGTCGATTTATTTATCTAGGGTTGCTGATCTCGTGTAAATGCTCTGCCAGCATATTATAGAAAGATGCAAGAACTGTTTTCAATACTTAGCCCCTAATGACCATCACTCTAAACCACTTCATGATATCTAGACTTCAGAATATCGTCGCATACATGGTGGGCTTAATCTCGGATGATTTCACAGTGAAGAATCTCAAGCATTTGAAGCGAATAAAAGCCTCGTCTCCTAAACGGCCATGAGATCCTGTGGCGTAACAGCGTAACAGGCTTGTCTATCTCTTGGCGGCGACGCCGCTGTTCGTTGACAACCTCTATCGCCGTTTCAAGCTGTCGTCAGGTTCAGCACTCCAACAAAATCTCGTAGTAGTAAAGTCGGATTGAAACTTCACGGAGGTCGAACCCAAATTCTACCCAACGGGGGCCAAAACGGACGACGACACCTAGAAAAGACCTAATACATTTAACGGACGTATAATGACAAGTATAATGTGTATATAATGCAGTAATAAGTAGGTCTTAAATAGGTTCGTGAACCCTAAATCGACCATGCCAGAGACTGTCTTATGACATTAGCGTTAGCTAGGCTTAGTATGCTAAATCAATAAAAATGAATGTATTTAAAATTTGTCAAATGCCACTTCATAAAGGCAAATGAATGGTCTCGATTGATATAATAATAATAATTAAGTCACTCTATTAGCCTCAATGGACTTGCAAACCGATTAGATCAGTTTCTAGCTGATAGATTAAAAACAACAGAGAAGAATAGCCCAGACCCGATAGATTTGAGCAATGGATTTATATGTGGCAAGTACCGGACCAACTTATCGGTTCCTATATCGATACTAAATGATACGATACAGGAACCCTACTCTTCCAATAAAATTTGTAATTATAATCTGGGAGACTCACGACCCTTTTTTACTTCAGTTAATTCGTTCTCTAGCTTTTACGTCGCCGTATCTTCTAAAATCCCAGCCATTCAAGCAATGATTATCATTTTACACCTAAATCAAAAGAAGGCGATAAATAGAACATTTTGCCTAAAATTTAATTTCATAGAACACTAAAAACAAAGAACTTTTTAGCATAGAACATTGATGAACTATTTACATTTAACAAAAAGTCGCCGAAAAGGCTCGACTTGCTTAAATTCAAATAAAACTCTCTGAAAGAAGAAAGCTACTCCTCTTCCTCCTAAACACGTTTCGCCATGCTTCGTATTTAATCAATTCCCAATAATTTTTTGCAAACGTAACCGCTAAATTATAAACATGTAAATGATCCGTAATTGCCCTCAAATAAAATAGTATTATTAACTGACAAAACAAACTACTAACGAGACAAAATAAACTATATTCATCGGATTTACATACATAATCATGGAATTTTCCCGAATCTCAACACCTGCTTGCGAATTGGACATGACGGGAAGGGGTAAGAACGTGAGCTCTTTGACTTGTTTGAGTGATATAAGGTAAAGAAATCTATATTACGTGAAAGAGTCTTTTAGATGGCGTGAGAACGTGATAACGCATTTGAATGTCTCACTGACAACGTCGGGTGCATATGGCACAAAGGCATTATATACAGTTAAAAAGTCATCCATGGCAGCAACACCGCTTAGTATCTTTTAAGGACATGGCTAGCCTAATCTTCGAACTTCACGCTGGCACTGAGTACTATGCCTAAACACCTCATGCGCCTGCATGCTCAGAAGTTGGCCTTTCAATTTGTAAATCAAATTATGATTAAAATAAAAAGGTTTGCGTAGCGCATCGGTGCAGAGATTCGAGCGGTAATGAAAACCGTACTACTACTATTTTGAGTCAATTTACTTTTTGTCTATTGATGACTTGTGCAATTGTGTCACCAACGAGAAAAGCGAAGAGGAGTCATCGGAAGTCAACAATTTAATGGTGTATTTTTACTGTTGTGACTATTACAGGTTCTCGTGGCTAACAAAACAAAAGAAAGGGGAGGTCATCGTACGAATCTAGGAGAGAAAGATAAGATTATAGGCAACATTGTCCTCGTAGACTCACAAGCGCGTCATAATAACTTAGAAGTCACCGAGCCCGATTTGTTTGTGCGGGTTTCACCTTGGCCAAATGTCACCGAGCACTACCTTAGAAAGGTATATTAGTTATGTAAAAAAACACACATAACACAAACTTCCGATTCGCCCTTAACTGTAAACTCGTTGTGCGTCCAATCTTCTGATTTATAACGACAATTTCAAGATCTCAATATTTGAATTGAATTTTTGTATGACGATTTATTTCGTCCCTTAGGCTTCTACAGGTTTAACAAGAACGTGCCTTCAAGCTGTATTAATCTATGAAGTTAAAACCGATATTTATCGGACCATTTCCCTAGCACTGATCGTTGCCGGTGTTAATCCTACGAAGAACGCCATCCGACCGAAATCTAGGACTGGTTTTTCCGCTTAGATTTCTATAACGGAACTATATTTAAATTATAGGAGTGAATCCTGCCGACGTATTGGGCGTTTTTACGTTCATTCCGTTCAATGGATATGTCTGTATCTGCTTAGAAGAACTGCGTTCCTCGGAAAGCAGTTCTTTTAAGCAGAATAACTTAAATTAATCCCACCTTTAAGTTATTTTACCACATGTATGTCGGTAAATCAATTGAATATTTGAGATCCTTTTGCAGGAGTTACAGGAATAAGCCCAATTGCTACAAGCCGCCTATGCTATCCGTAAAAGCAGTAGATCCCAAGGGCGCGTAATATTATTCGAATACCTAACCTAATCATCTTATTTTAAGTTTAACATAAAGCGATGCTGAAACGACGAGCCTCTAGAATGAAGATATGATTAATTTATTAAAATATCCTGAAATAGTAACGCTCATAAATGGACCTGTTAGTAAAATAAGAATCTCTATTCGTAGTCTACAAATAATTATAGCCTTTTCAAAATCATTCCTCGTGCAATGATCATCTAAAACACAACCTCATCCAAATCTAGTATTAAAACTGTTCTGTAATTTTCAATAATTACAAAGTCAACAGACGACCTAGTAAATACTTGTTAACTTACCCTAAGTGCAATTGTACTTAACATATGACTTAACGGGAAAGTTAACACGTACAAGTATCAGGTGCAAGTTGGGTAATCTGTTCATCTTTATTTAAAGATTCTTCTAAATGTGACAGACGCTGAATATGAAAAACGTGCTTTCCAATGTAATTATGAAGGAGAAATTATGAAAGGAGATGTATCGAATTTATTTAAAAATAGCACCAGTTTTTTAACAGAGCTTAATTACCAAAATATATAAGTCGTGTCCACAAGATAGGCACCTGGCAAAATATTTACAAAAAAAAAAAAGGCTTAGTCCAAGGTATAATAATCTACTATGTGTCATCATAACAGAGTAGAAATTATGCTTCGATGATATCGTGTTGAATAATCTCACACACAACGTAAGTTTGGTTTTGTTTTTCGCTATAACTTCCGGATATCTATAAGCTTTTCTTAGAATTTTTTTTCTAATTTAAGAAAGTGAATAGATGGGATTTTCGTTTCATTGCCAATTGCATTGAGTTAATTTTGCCAAGAGTAGCTGTAAAAAGTTTAGCAATACGTTTAAGTTGAAATACTCAGACCAAGAAAAATGAAACCATGGGAAGAGTACAAATTTCCTTGCCTTTTTTATTGCTAGGTTTTAAAAGTAAGGGCACAAATTAACTCAAAGTTTGCCAAAATTATCCGCATTTTTCTTTCGTTCAAATAAAATGTTTAAAAACAAGCCTTTGGCAAGCTCTGTTTCTGAACATTTTGATAACCAAACAAATATTTAATTAGAAAAACGATTTCTTTTTGTAGACCCTACAAAGCAAGAATAATTTAAAGTTAAACCCATGTCATTAGTTGATTTATTGTCAGTATTGTTAGATTAATTGAGCCATTTATGAACCGGTAAAACCATTACGTAAGCAAAACGATATTCAAAATCGACACCACGATGAAGATATGAAGGCACGATTATATTAAGTTTATCATTATTTACTACGACGAGACATGAAACAAAAACACAAACAGTTCATCATCGTGTTATTCAGAGTTAGATAAGGAGAACAATGGGAATCTAAATTGCTATGCCATCAACTATTCGTAGTTTTTTTTTTACCCACCTATCATCTTAACAGCTACCTTCAGTTGCACCTTCGATTTTGCTGGTTTTTAACAATAGAATTAACCTTTAAATTGTTTTATACAGTCAAGTGAGTGGTCGCAGTCGTACCCAGCTCTCTCAAGTCAGCTCTGGATAACAGGTTTCATTTCAAATATATTTTCTGACACACAGCGTATTTTTAGATTTGTTTTTTTTTTCATTGTTTTTTTTTCCTAAAAATAGTGCTTTTGTAGTAATTTAGTCGTCTTTTTTTTTAGCGCAAAGCTTTCTGGTTTAGATAGCTCTTTCTAAGCTACGGTATCATCTCACATTGTTGGCCAGTGCACTGGAGAGTTGAACGCTGCAGGAGAGTTCGCGAAGTACTACGGTAGAAGAACTTTCGTTTCCTGGTGTATTATGATTTACCAAAAAAAATTGACATTTTTAAAGGCTGCAACTTACCGGCTGTAGAGTAACGAGGACACTTTGGGGACTATTACAAGGGACATAAAGGTTCGTCGCCAAGGCGATCAGGTAGTCACCTCGTCACCGGTTAAGGATTCCTTCTTTGTATTGGGTCGTTATCCAACTGATCATCTAAATGGAAAATACGAACAAGCATAATTCCTAAAACACACGGGTTTTTCCCTTATTTGTTAGCCTATGAGAAGCCGACAGATAAATTTACAACGCATATATTTAAGCGCATTGGCTTCATTTCGTCGTTCGCTGGTAGGAGCAAACAGGTTACAACCACGCGCACCAAGTTTCCATCCATAAAATTGGTCCTATTTGCCCTTATTTGCTCCGTTACGGCCCGACCATGCAGCCGATCTGACGCAATATCCTCATTACAAGGCCAATATCGCTAGGTGGGTTTAGCCAAATCTTTTTACACGTATGTCTTTGCGGTATTTTACTAATTTACATGGAATTCCATTGATTTTGTTAAAGCTGGTTAGCGAAGGACTCGATGTTTAACCTTCAGTACTATCAAATTCTGTAGATTATATATTTATTTTTTTACTGACAGATTCAGATACTCGCTGTCGACGAGCAAAGTGACTATCGTGATTTCATTCCGCGTTCCGATACCGTGTTGTCGTACATCGTACCACGTACGTACCCTGTAGCTCTGTAGCCTTTGTCCGGTAAGTATTCCTATTGTGTTATCGGTCCGGGTGGGCCCGATAACAGGATAGAAATACTAAAGCCTTAGCTGATCTGCAGGGCTAGACATCGTCTCTCGGACCTAATAACGTTCGATATTTTCCACAGCACGCTCGTTACCGCCATTCGCCTAGAACTAACTATAATCGCCTATGAAGCGCTATAGTCGATGCACTGATGTTGGCATATTTGATTGTAGGAAAGCGGATTGACGAATCTATAGGATTGGCTTTGAACCTCAGAATGCTGGGGTCTGCCACTTTGTTTGCCTTGCTAGTTGCGGGCTTTGTACGTTAATGTGCGTTCTTTGGGAACAACGATAACAATCGGTGTTCTTTCTTTTCTAGATGCGTTCTTAGAAGTGGATGTCAGATTTTCTGGGTGTCTAACTACGAATTACCCAAGTGACTTTGGCGCAGGAATTGACTTTTGCTATTGTGACGAGCTAAGCGAGGTAACCGATCGCAGTCTTTTGGACACCGCCCAGAAGCACACTAAATTCAAGTTTAATGCCCAGTTGATCTAGCAATGCTCGTTTAAGATCCATATTTCTCTCTACATCTTCTAGCGGTAAAACAACAGCTCATGTAATCTGCCTGGAGGCATTTTGAATCGTATGTAATCGTTTCGCACACCGCATGAGCCGAGCTACATGCTAAGCGTACCTCTCGGGTACTAGGCCGGTCGCTCGCGATCCTTCCAAAAGCGCTCATATTCCTCTACCCACCTTTTCGGCCTAGTACTGATTGGTCAAATGTCCACTCGCGGCTTTCGTCCAATCGCGTAGGCGGTATACTAATGAACTTACTACCGCGTTCATAACGCTAGCCGTTCTGTCGCTATTGCCAAAATAAAGCGTATTGATTTTGCTTTGTTGCTGGCTATTAAGCACGAACGCTCTAGAGCCACTTGTTCAGCTCTAATACAAACCTTGATGTGATCTTATTAATTAATTTGTAAATAATAAATAAATAAAATAGTTTGTTGTAGAAATATGTATACACGCTCACTTGATCGAGAACAACCACAAAATAGTGCTAACAACTTAATTGGATGTTAATATTTCTTTATTAAAAATTTTACATATTTAGTATTTTATTGATGTGAAACACTAACAAAGTGAGCTATCTTGGCGTTTTTTTATCACAGTATTTGTTTCATCAAGTTTTGGCCATATCCTTGGCTATACCATTAAAATGGCTGTAAGTTTGTATCCATGAATTGCCGGAGTACATTTTGCTTTTCAATGACCCCTTTTAAAATAAGCCGAATGAAGTTATATCACATGAGCTGAGAAGCCACTCGACGTCATCCCGCCCGGACATTAGCCTCTCGCGGCATCATTTAATATTTAATTATGTTTTTATTTACGAAGAGAAATAAATCATTTTGGTGATCTTCGAAACTTTTTTTTATGATTTGTGGTATAAGAAAGCCCGATACCATCCCCTTGTAGACTGCGACCCACATGCTGCATTAGACAGTGTTTTTTGAAATGAAAATCGCCTTCGTGGATAGCCCGGACGTTCTCCAATCATATAGGCGATAATGTTATTTGTTCACACACTTTTTAGGTAAGAATGCCATCTTTGCTGAACACAGTTTTTTCGGGAAACAAAAGGGCCAGAAAGCAAGGAAGTGGCCAAAAATGGGTGAAGCGAACAATTGCCGCAAAGGATGCCCACCTCATTAATGTTACATTTAAGAAAATTTATGGGGTTTCCAGTAAGGAGAGATCAATGTTAACACGTCCAGTCTCTTTTTTCCCGTCTGTTTGAAGTCAAGCCAAAGCAAATGCTCCTCCTTATGTATATCCGATGT